GTAGTGTACTACACTCCCCTTCCTTTTTTGATTGTAAGCCGCCCTGAGTCCCCTCAGGGAAAAGGGCGGCCTATAAATAAATAAATCTACAATCTACAACATCTGAATTGAGTCGGATCAGCTTCCAGAGCTGGTGTATGAAGCAAGGCAAGAGAAAATGTATGTGTCTATATTCATTTTACCTCCAATTGTGTTGAAAATACTGGCTGCCTTTAAACATGTAACATGGCATTTCAGCTATTATTTTTCATATATTGTATGTGCACCAGTTTAGTTATAAGTGGAAATCTCTCCCAAATATTTTGATATACAGCCCAGTCTGGTGCCAAATTGCATTACCCTGGCTAAAAGGGAACTTTTTTAAATGGTTCCAACAGTGTACCTTATGAGCAATATTTTTTTAAAGGAAATATTGCTTGGTTTAAATTATCTATTGTTCAGTTTCACAGAGTAAAGTAATCAGTACTGTATTTTCTATTTTTAAAGATTTTCAAATGTCAGCTTAGTGCCTATTTCATTTGGTGGCATCAAGTTGATCAGAAAGATAAATCATACTTGACATGCTAGGCATGCTATGGTTTTGGAGAAAACTTAATAGCATGATTGTGACTTTGTACTTTTTAACTTAATATAGCTTTAAAAAAATTTCTGATTATTAACAACTTTTCTCATTTTGAAATGTTAATAAATTATTGGAAACAGTTGTTGCGTAAGTTGCCCTATTTAATACACATTGAACAAAAAGCTAAATGGACAAACCAGATGAATATGTAGGAGAACTTGGGGGAGAGAGGTGAAAGTGGAATCAAATATTAGAAAGTGGTAGAAGGAGGTGGAATGAATTCAGATTTGATTCAGTTTCAGACTGCCCAATGATGCATAGAAAACCATGGAATGAGAAAAAAAAATTAGCAAAGTAGATATATTTATGAAAGAAGCAAACAAGAGACATTGTAGCCTATAAAATTTGGATACATTCCTCATTACAAAATCTTGGCAGTTTTATTAGAATTTTCCTGATTATGTAACTTTACATCTGTGGAGATAATCTATTCCACATTGATTGTGCTTTGGCCAATTTTATCTTCCTTTGCTTCGGAGGACTCAAAAGGGCAACCAGAGAACTGAAACCCTTTTGCTGCTTTCTGGAATCTGAAAGAACATTTGGACTTTTAGTGGTAGACATGGACTTGTGCTTCAAGAAGCTGTTGAATTCAGGTGACTTACTTCCCCCCCCCCCAAACTGTGGCTTTGTTCCTTTTCGGTTGGGGACTGAATTGGAGACATCGGAATGCATATGGATGCAATGGGTCCCCAAGAGCTTTGAGAGGGCTGGACTCCTGGGGGAGAATAGGGGCCCAGGAGGAGGTCTAATTCGGAGTCTTAACAATGAAAGGAATCGAATCCACTTCTGAAGAGCCACAAAGACCTCAGATGAGTAGGGCTTCCCTCATAGCTGCGGTGGTGCAGTGGTTAAATGCAGCACTGCAGGCTACTTCAGCTGACTGCAGTTCTGCAGTT